TCCAATCACTTCTCTGAGGGGCACCTCCGCACATGGTCGATAGTCTGCGGGGAGAATAATTCTGAGTTTTATATGAGTATTTACCACATTGAAAACAACTTTCGAGGGTTTGTATCATCTCAGCTGCTGTGTTAATGCTGTTGGTTTTAAGCAGCCGTGGTTGTGTTGGCCCTAATGTTTCTCTGTGGAGCTTCATTCCGGTGCTCTTTCTGTACACTACAGCGCCCATGACAACTCAACTGACTCCTTGAGGCCCTGGGTAGGACAGACTCACAAATAGAACCACACCAGGTCCCCTTTAGGCTCTGTGGATAGTCCCAGTTGTCCTGAGGAAGATCGGGGAGTGATGCCAGAAGTTTCAGAGCCTTCCCCTTACCCTGTTTTCAAGGACTGGGTAGCATCTTAAATTTTTGAACCCATTTGCTTATTCTAGCATCATTGGTGTTTGTAGGGAAACTCCAGGAGAAAGGTAAATGACTGTTTGATATGCTGTGGATCTAGCTAAATACTAAAATAAGTTTTTGTAATTACATTTTAAAATGTTAGTAGAAAAATCAGTGGAAATAATTATGCTCCCATATGGTGATCCTTTGATGGAGATGTTGAAATCAGACCTGAACAGGCCAGAATTGAGTTCATGTATCAAATGTGTAAGGCCTTTGACTTTGCCATATCAAGTTTTTATTTAGAGCTGCATTTTTGTGGGTTTTTGTTTGTTTGTCTTTTGTTTGTTTTTGTTATTGGTACTGTAAAATTTAAAAGCACAACGTTTATCATGCATTTTAAAATATGCTGTGTGGTGGGATTTGGTACATTGGTATTGCTGTGTGTCACCTTTCCTGTCTGATTCTGTCAGCTTTTCATCACAGTGACAAATGCCTGAGGTAATTACTAGAAGCTGTAGGTTTGTTCTGGCTCACAGTTCTGAAGGTTCAGCCCATTGTAGGCTGGGCATAGAACTTAGGCCTGTAGCAGCATGTCATGGTGCTAGCACACCCAGCCGCACTGCTGGGAGGAGTGGCTCCTTCTCGGGTACAACTCCTGTGTCTTAGCCACTGTTCTGTCGCTATTAAGACACCATGACCAGGATAACTCTTACAAAGGAAGCATGTAACTGGGCTTCCTTACAGTTTCAGAAGTAAGTCCATGACCAACATGGCAGGAGTAGGGAGGCACACAGGCAGGCATGGACTTGAGAAGTAACTGAGAGATCCAAGTAGATTCACAAGCAGCGGGCAGAGAGAGAGTGACATTGGGCCTGGCATGGATTTTTGAACTATCAAAACCCACCCCCACTGACAAACCTCCAGCTTGGACACACCTCCTAATCCTTCCAGTCAGCTCATTAACTGGAGACCAGGCATGAAATATCTGGGGTCACTCTCATTCTCTACCAGACCCAGAAACCACAAAACCTCCCACTAAATCCTGCCTCTTACAGATCCACTACTTGTAGGTAGTTTGAAGGTGGGGAGGAAGCTTTTATTATGTGAGCCTTTACTACAAAAATATGTGAGATACAAATCGTAACGTCTACTTCAAAACTACTGCATCTCTCAAGCTGAAACTCCAGATGTGGTTTCTCCTGATTCTTGTTGTCTTTGTTTTTGTTTTTATGAGTTCTGTGACTTAAAATACTGTGGAACAAGTAGCCAGCACATGGAGGCATGAAACTCTGTCCTCTCCAACGCTGTGTCTCCCTCGTAAGCAGGGATATATTGCCCAGTAACAGCTGAGAGTCGGGTTGTAAGACCTGGCCTATTGGCAACTTACAGTGGAACAGAATTGAAGAGGTTATGTCGGTGGAAGTTTCTGTTCTGCCCGGTGCCATAGCTGTTCAGTCCCAAAGAAACACACAGAGGCTTATATTTTTAATTATAAACTGTTTGACCTATTGCTTCGACTTATTACTAACTAGCTCTCACAACTTAAATTAACCCATAATTTTTATCTATGTTTAGCCACGTGGCACTTCCTGCCTGCTAGTATGAGTGACAAATCTTGACAGTGTACAGAGCTTTATCCCACAGCAAGGTTATGGGGTTGAATGATCACCTGATCACCCAGAGGCACTGAAGAGCTTTACCAGGAGACCTGAAAGAGCAGTGGCTAGGCTCTGATGAAGATTGTTAAGCCTCCACACCAGCTACAACTTTGGTGCTGATGTAGGGAAACCGCAGTGGGAAGGTAGGAAATAGTGAATAGTGAAGGGTTTTGCATCTGATCTGGATACATGTGTCTGAATATAAATAGTTTGCCACCATGGCTCTCCTTTTGAAACAGTCATGCTCTGGGAGTGGATTGAATTGTTTGATGCTAAAGGTGTGCTCCTTGAAGGACAGGTCCCTGTTTCAGTGAAAGTGGTCTTTGTCACACTGCACTGCTTGTCATGAGGTTCTCCTGCACTTGCCAAGGATGCTGAGTGTCCTACCTTCCCGCATGATCAACTAAATGGCTCATCATAACCACGTAGTGAAAAGCAGTTGCTTGAAAACAGAAGTTTAGTAACTTTCAATATAAAGCAGAAAGATGTCATCCCTTGATTTGTTTTATATCTTATTTGTCCTTTGCTGGCTTTTGGTGCTTTTTTCTCCCTTTTTATCCTATGCAGTAGGTACGCGATGCACACTCCTTCCTGCATCTTGCTGCTCCCACACTGGCTCATTCTGTCGTCGTTTGCCTGGGACAGTTCCTGTGTGGTGACTCTGCTGTCCTTCTCCCTGTTCTTGTCAGCGTACTCAACAGCGTCAGCACAGGGCTGACACTGTCCTCCCTGAAGTGGATTGTTGCTGGTGGCCACTGCGCCCATTCTGACTTCTGTCATGATACCTGGAATATTTACTGAACACATCTGTTGCGCACACTGTGCGTCTGGGACTCTCATGTGCCTGCCTTGCCCATGGCTCCTACAAAGACAGGAATGAATTGAGCAGTGCCATAGATGGCAGATGAGTCACAATTAGGATTAAAGAATGGCTGTTGGACTCTGCACAATAGGGGTAATTAGTAATCTTTTCAGAGCTTTCTAGCAATCGGCCAGATAGAGAGGGATTAAAGAGAAAGATATAAGTGGGTAAGGGTGGGGAGAAGGAGGGGTAGGAACTGGGAGATGACAAGGAAAAGGAATGCAGGTGCCACCTGCCAGAGAGGACAAGGATCTGCAGTGACATCTGATTGTATGTTCCTGGGATGAATGTGGTGGCCCCATGTCCATATTCCTAAAATGACTAGTAAACATAAGGAGAGTGGGGCTTCAGCCTGTGTATTTACCACATTGGGATCTTGTTTGGAGGAAGACTATCTTTGCTCATAGAAGCTCCTGCTATCTCTTGTTTACTGTTTACTGTCTCCTTTTTAGTTAAAAAAATAGAAAAAGCTTTTTAAGTAGGCAAGTCCCTTCCTGTCACTTGTGTCTCTTAAATTTCAAACATAATGTTCTATGTATAGCAATGTTTCAGAATAAATTCAGAGTTTGTTTGAATGTTTTTTTACTTTCCACATACAAATTACAAACTACAAATGCATTTCAAATTATTCTAAGACAAAGTTGTTTACCTTTTGAAATTCTTCATATGAACAAATAGCAAGATGCAGGCATGACCCTCTTCTCTGCAATCTGTTTCCTGCCTTGATGCATGTGTGGTCCTGTAGCTCCTTGGCTTGGTGCTTTCAGTTATAACATTTACCATCACATGCTCAGGGCAAGGCAGTGGTATGAAATATTATATTGCTATGCACAATTTAATGCTTACAAGTAGTTTCTGGAATATTCTGTGTAGTTGTTGAGCCAAAGTTGACCTCAAGGAGCTAAAACCGTGACAAGCCAAACAGTGGGTGGGAGAGGACTACTGGTGTCTGTTGTGAGGAGTGGAGGGGACAGAGCTGTGGCCTTCTCCCAGCTGGGACTCACGGTGTCCTGTTGGTGTAAGCAGCAGTGATTCAGCTAGGACTGTGGCCAGCCTTGCTTCTTTCTGGATCAGCCTGATTTGATGACAGCGAGACTCCATGCGTTGAACTAGGTGCTAGCATGCAGTAGGAAGAAAGAAAGCCTAAACCACTTGCTTCTGAGTTGAGCTACAGTACATTTGTAGCAGATGGGTGTTCAGCTCTAAGACACACCGAGCAGGTTGTGGCAGCCTTGTGAGGAGAGTTTCTGAGGGTGGCACAAGTGAGTAGAGGCAGGTGGGAAGTTGTAGATGGTCCTGCATAGTGCTTCACCAGAAACAGAGACCTCATGGACAGAAATGTCCTGGAGACTGAGTGCCTACTGCTTTGAGCTGAAACAAACTATTAAATAAGGAGTCAGAAAAACTGGTGTTCAGAAACTAAGGCCCTGCTCCCAAGCAGGAGGTTAACATCCGTGTTGATAATCCAGAGCCTTGCCTTACCTTCCCAAAGCATCCTAGAGATGCTCAGAGGAAATGCGGACTGTGAAAGTCTGGGCGGTTGCCGTGGATGTTACAGAAGTGAATCATCATCCTGGTCCCCAGCAAGCAGATGGCTGCATTCTGAGTACATAGACAACTGGGAATGTGGCATTCCCACTCTAGAGCACGTGCCTGATCACTGATGGAAGGATACCAAGAATGGGGCAGTTCTATGTTGTTCTATGTGTTCTTAAATTTCCTTTCCTTTTGTTACTGCACTGATGTGACTTAAACTTTTAAGTATAGCACTGTAGATCTTCCATTATACAAGAGTTTTTAAAATTGAACTTTTGGAGGTAAACTATAGTTAAGATGCCTTGAGAAGGAAGGCTACCTCTAAGTATATAAAATCAGTTTAATTGTAACTTTATATAAGTGTGCATCTGTCCCATAAATCCCTCTGAGTTGCTGTGGGAGCAGGTTCTCTGAAAAATCCCTGAGGAGGTGTTCACGGATACATTGTGAAAGGGCAAAACTTGAGTTTCCCAGCCCGGGGCTTTGAGGGAGATATCCATCGTTAGTGAAGCCTGCACCCGAGTTCAGTACGTTCACCATGAGCCCGTTCTGCCACAGGTTCCGAGTCTGAGGGGTCCCTGACGTGCCTGGAAGCTGTGACAGCACACTCCTTTGAAGAGAACGAAGTGCCCGTGAGCAGTGGAAAGCACAGAATGTCCGAAGGAAAAGACTGTGGTGGGGGAGATGCACTCTCCAATGGCGTCAAAAAGCACAGGTATGGCAGCCTTGGGCATCCTCAGTAGTCACTGGCACACGAGGAGTGCTTTTTCTGCCTCCTCCCCAGGATTGGCTGTTTGTGTTGCTTGGTGTGCCACCTCCGAGGCAGAATTAACTGGAGTACTCTCTCTCTGTCTGCTTTGAGTAATGCCTGCTGTAGGTGTGGGACCAGAGCACAGGCTTGGCTTCCTTCTGCAGCTGGTCTCTCGGGGAATATCTAGATGCTTCGGTTGGAGTAAGGCTCTCAGAAGCTCCCATTGAAACTGGTGCTCTGTTCCATTTCCATCTTTTATGACTCTGCCTCCCACTGCTATTTTGGTTCCTAGTCATTTGATCTTCTTGTTGGTTTTGAGAGGGAATAGTAATGGGGCCAGCCTGCTGTCACAATCTAGTTACATTTAAACAAAGGCTGTTACTAAGGCCAGGATGTGCTGAACACATGCATTTTACATGCTCCTATCACACTAGTTTGGTTTTATTCACCTGATGGGCTAGTGCTAGAGATAATCCACAATGACAAGATGTAACAGACACCACAGTTCTCTGCTTCCGACAAGAGCACAGAGTGGTAGACAGTTGATGTTTGTATAGAGACATACTTTGTAAAATTACCAACAAGTGGGATATCTTGTTTTGTTTTGTTTTTGGTAAGGAGATGCTAATGGTTAATTTCTACAAAAGTCTTGTGTGTTTTTACTGTAGATTGTGTAACACTATGATTCTGATCACAGTTGTCTCAGGCACTGTCCAGGACCAGCGTGCACAACACTGCTCTGGTGTGCAGGACCAGTGTGCCAGAAAGTACAAATATGTTGAGAAAATGTGAAGTATTTAGTTCATATCCTATCTCATCACCGGAGCCTTCAGTGAAAGAGCAAGGACTTTGCCCAGAATTTGTCAGATTTATAGAAGAGTCTAGGGACAGTAGGGAGCAGTAGAAAAGTCACTCGAGTCTCTGCTCTTTTTTGCCTGGAGGGTAGAGGGTAGGGGTGTAAGGCGGGAGAACAGTGAGAGTCTCCAGCAGTCTGGGCATGGGGCATCCTATAACCAGCTGAACATAAGCATGATTCAGCAGCCCACCCTAGAGAGTCCTGAGGAAGAGCCTGCAATAACAACTCAACAATGTGGAGGTTGGGTGAGGGTACCACTGTGCTGTGATGTAGGTTGAATGAATATTGTCAGTCAAGAAATTGCAGGTACCTGTTCTTGAAGGCCAGTGCACATTGAACACCTGGGACAGACTGGCAAACTGGAGGGCAGCAGCTGAATCAGTGAACGCAAACTCCTCAGACCAGCCCAGGCACAGGGAATTCAGCCCGAGCTCCATTCTGAGACCGCACCACAAAGATGGGAGCCAGCTTGCCAGATGGGACTAGTCCCAAGGGTTCAGGTCTTAAAATTTACCCTAGGAACAAGCTGGTAGGCCATGGGGTTACTTTGAGTGTGTTAGGAAAAAGCAGAAGGTGAGATGGGCCTCAACTCACGAGAGTTCGTCATAAGCCCAGGTTGACTTTTTATTGATAGGAATTCCTGTAGGAAAACTGTGACATCATACCATGGTGAGGTCACCATTGCTATGCTAGGCTGAGAAGAAGGTACTGGAGAAGCTGCTCTTTGGAAGCAGAGCTGAGGCTCAGGGGTCCTACTGGCCTACCCCTTTATTTTACTCCTCCTCCTGAGTTGTTCTTTGTAACCCGGAGGGGCTTTACGAGAATTAGAAACCCACAGGCTCTGGCTCAGCTTGCGCATTTTAGGACCTTATGGTGAAGATGGCGCTCATTCTAGCCTGTTCTGGACAGATGCTTGTTGTGGGCGGTAAGAGCAGTTTTCTGGGGCATCTGCAGTCTGCAGCTCTGCTAGAATGCACTGCATGGCAAGTAGCTAAGGAAGTGCTGGTCTTCATCTAGGCTGTAAAAAGTAAAAATAAAGACAAGCTTTTCAGGTGGGTAGTTACAGTTTTAAAAATATTGCAGAGAAATTTAAGCATGCCTAAAAGTGCAGAAAATATTGTTTTGAATCCTGCATATCTATCATCAGTATTATCATGCATATGCCTTTATTTCATCTAAATTTCATCTCATTTCCTATAACTTTAAAGCTAAACTTTAGGATATATTATCTTTATTGTTTATTTTTCAGGACACATTTTTTTATGTCTTTCTGCACGTCTTGTTTGTCTTTTCTATCAGCCATACATGATGATATGTGATTTGTAATCAGTCTCTCGAAGTCTATACCAGTCCTTAAATTAATAACTTTTAAACTGTGAAAAGAATACATATGTATAGCTGTATTCACATATTTTAAATAGTATACAAATTTTTAATTGAAAAAATTATATATATGTGTTGTGTACAGCATGGTACTTTGAAATACATTTATATCATAGAATGGCTAAGTAGAGCTAATTAGCATATATGTTACCTTCATACATATTGTTGTTGTGAGAATAATTAAAATCTGTGTTGCATTGCAATAAACATTCTGCATCATTGTGCAATAGATGCCTTCAGCTTAGTTCTAGAAACATGAAGTGTGCCAGGTGTGGTAGGAAAAGGCAGGAGGATCTCTATGAGTTGGAGGCCTGAGTGGTCTACATAGTGAGTTTTGGACTGCATAGAGAGAGCCTGTCTCAGAAACCATGGAAGGCTTTGGCTTGTTATGTGTGTGCACATTAGGACTAGTCTAAGTTGTCTCATTGTTCACACCTTAGCAAGGTGCTGCTAGGCTGAGAGCTCTGCATCTTTAGCCCAGTCTCTCCCCACTAGATCACAAACCAGTTATCATGAATGAGTAATCATTTACATATCTTCAAATATTTAATTAGTTTTCAAATTTCCCTGCTTGTCAAATAAAACTGTGTCTTAGTAATTAGATCTGAACTGTCACTTAGCAGTAAGGACCCAAAAGTTCCACATCTTCTGTCTGGCAGAAATGGCTGGAAGAGTCGTAGGCTTTCTTTTCCTCTCCTCCTAGCCTTTCGTACCCTTTATTTGTGTTGCACACTATTCTACAGTCTAGATATGTCTGGTCACATGCCTGGGGTGTCATTTAACATGAGTTTTGCCCTTGAAAGTCCTTTAAGCCACTCCATTCACAGAAGCTTGACTGGCTTAGAATTGATATTACTTGTTTTTATTTTTATTAGTTAGTAGTAGTATTTGATGTGCTATAGTGCATAGACACACACACTGGGGGCAAGGCATGCCTCCTGTTAACATCAATGAAGAGAATATATATGTTGTCTGGTTTCTTTTTATTTTGTGTTGAGGTTGATTCCCTGGTTTTGTCCTTGTGACTGCCTGTTTCCTGGGAAAGTTGCCTGATAGCCTTTTACTTGATGATCTTAGCGACCATTTGATGACAGAAGTCACAAAGCAATCCCACACCAGTTCAGAATTATGAATAATAAAAGGGTTATTTATTTAAGGGGAAAACTTACAGATCACTGTTCTAGACAACAGTCCTCTGCACAAACAGGAATAGAGTCTAGCAGCCAGAAGCGGGAGCCGGAAGCAAGAGATTGAGCACACATTTACCACTGCTTTTACAGTATAAGAAACCATGCCCAAGTGGGCTAGTATCTTAAAGGCTATTGGCTAAAGGAGCAGAATGTGCTCCCACAGCAACCATTGACGGTCATTATCTTCATCCATATTTCTTTAGATACTACAAAATAGTGCTGTTTCAAACCTGTCATTCCTTCTACATTTATTAGCAGAGTTCTATTAAGAAGAGCTGATGGGCTTGGGAGAGGATCAGTCAAAAAGTTCTTGTCATGTCAGCATAAGGATTTGAGTTCATATTCCCAGAATGCACTTAAAAAACTGGTCAGAATAGCATGCATCTGTAATTCCAGTCATGGGGAAGTGGAGACAGGTTGGGCCCTGGAGATCCATGGCCAGGGTCAGCGAGAGACCCTGTCTCAGAAAATAAGGTAGATAGTGATTGAGGCTACTCAACATCAAACTTGGACTCTCTCTCTCTCTTTCACACACACACACACACACACACACACACACACACACACACACATATCTCTGTGCACCCTCCCATACACACACTTACTCATTCACTCCACACAAGCTAATAAGTACCTCTTTATAAAATTATATATAAGGTTTTCCCACAAAAGTGATGTGTGAATATATGGGCTAGTGTTTTTTAATAATCTTTATTTCCCCTCTATGGTCAGTGAGAACTTTTCTTTGTCCATTCAATAGGGTTCCATTTTGTTTGTGATGTGCATGGTGTTCACGTGGGTCAGCATATAACCTTGTGTGCCTTCAGCCTTTTGTTTACATAAAGTGTCTCATTGCCTTGAAACTTCCCCACATAGACCTGGGTCGCTGACCAAAAGTTCCAGGGATCTCTTCCTCCCATCTTACATGCCCAGCTTTTTGTTGTTGTTGTGTTGTTGTGTTGTTGTTGTTGTTGGTGGTGGTGGTGGTGGTGGTGGTGGTTTGTTTTTTGAGATAGAATTTCTCTGTGTAGTCCTGGCTATTTTGAAACTTTCTCTGTAGACCAGTCTGACCTTGAACTCACAGAGATCTACCTGCCTCTGTGCATGTTAGAATTAAAGGTGTGTGCCACCATGCCTGGCTAGCATGCCCAGCTTTTACATGGGTTCTGCAGATTTGAACTCAGGACCCCATGCTTGTAAGGCAAGCCCTTTACTAGCCTGAGCCATCTCCTCAGTCCCCAACTTCTTGTAGGTATAATATGCAGTACACATGTGTCTTTGAGAGCCCCCATGCAGTTTGGCTTGTATTGTTTTGTTTCTGCTCTAGATCTAGATTCTTGGTTCATGTTCCTGGAAAATTCTATTTAGAAGCACCCGAGTGTTGCCTCTGGTCTATTTTTAGTTTATTACATCGGAATTGATTATCCTACTTTTGTTTTTTCTGTAGATAAAAGGTACTTTGTAACTATACAATAATTTTAACTTTTTAGGTCTCTTCTCTCCCCCCCCCCCCAGTTTGTAATTGGGTTATTCTT